CCACTTCAACACTGATGAAAATGTCCAGCTCCAGTTCTGTTACCGTAGGCCACACCTCCACGTCTGGGAAGACAGTTTGGAGACGGACATGAACAAGCACTTCTGTTATTTCTCCTAAAAACAGTCGCCCCTAAAGCACCATGATGTCCATGAAGAGAACAAACAGCACACAAATACGCCGCAGGCCTCATAGAGACATGAAATAAAGGATGAACTGTATGTTTCTAGGTGTCAGAAACATATTCTCATGAAATATATTCTATACGAGATAAATGTGCACACCAGAAATAATCTCTAATCCTTCAAAGCACTACATAAATGAATTTGAATTGAAATTAGCATAGAAATGTATTTCTAAGACAAACACAAATTATCAAACGCCCCCAACAAGTGGCTCTCAGCAACAACAACAAGACCTCAGCAAAAGTTTGGGCACCCCTGGTCGAATTATGTTTTGTGAAAATAAGTGACAGAGAACACACATACTTCTTCTTCTACACACTTCACCGCACAATTGCTGCTTATTTGCTAACAAATATTTATTAACATACTGAAAAAATAAATAAAAAATGTAGTCTGTGCAAAACGTTTTTATTACTGTTTTATATTTTCTTTTTCCAATATGTTAAAGGCAGATGTTTTATATTTATATGTTTACAATGTAGTCATAATAATTATTTCTATTTACATATCAGCCATGACCCCAAAGTACATGCTTATAAAAGATGGTTCTTTAAAGGTTCTTCAGTGAAGTGAGTCCCTAAATAGAAGCATGTCATGCTTCAATGGTTCTTTGCATGGAGAAACGGTTCTCCAGATTGATGGAGAATGTGTTGTATACGGTTCTGTATAGAACCCTTTCGAAAATGGTTCTTTTTAGCACCAAAAAAGGGTTCTTGCTGCTATTGTTTCAATATCAACCCAGCTGGCACATGACCAACTTTCAACAATGAAACGTGGCTGAAATAATGCCAGTTGTAGTTTCAACGTTTATTGTCAAATAGTTAACAAAATACTAAAAAAAATCAACATTGAAATTTGAATCAACATAACTTATTTAACATTCTGCCCTATAAATATAATCTTTAGCAAAGAAAATGGTTCTGTATAAAACAAGAACACATGATTAAAGGGTTCTTTGCCTTGTGAATAGGTTCTTCAGATTGAGGGAGAATGTGTAGTAGGTGGTTCTATTTAGAACCTTTTTGAAAATGGTTCTATGTAGCACCAAAATAGGGTTCTTCTACTGTTACAAGCTTGACATTGTAACAAGAGCATAAGCTTTTTGGTGCTATATAGAGCCCTTTCAAAAAGGTTCTGTATAGAACCATCTACAGCACACTGTCCATCAATCTGAAGAGCCCTTTTACGATGCTAAGAACCATTTATGAACTGCTTCTATGTAGAACTCATGGTTCTGAATAGACTTTACTAAAGAACCCTTGAAGAGCCGTTTTTAGTAAAGGTGCAACACTGACAAGAATAAAACGTCCACTAGCAGTAAAATAGTCCAGCCTACAGAAAACTAAATCCTCATGAAACCGAGTTGAAGAGGGATAAAAACAACACTGACCGAAGAAAGAAGGTGAATTAAAGAACCATACAGCTTTTATTTGCTAAAAACAAGAGCATAAAAACATATGAGACCACAAAATACACACCACAAAGCCGCTAACTATAATGCTAACTAATGTTGTTTTGAACATTTTAGCTACAGACCGTTAGCGTTAGCCTAAATCTCAGAGCGAGCAGAGAGTGCAGGAAGACTCCGAAAATGAGGAAAGAATAAGTATGTTTTATCTAGAATATATTGTATTTTTATTTTTATATATGTTTACTTCTATTGCTGGTTTTAAACGTTTAATCTCCTTCCGCTGAAATTAGCTTCTTGTTCGAATTTTCCGTTCCACCTTAAATGGCGCAGCAGATACATCTAACAACCATGTATGTATATCTATGCTAATACTGGCTCTAATGAAACAGATGCACCATTTAAGGTGGAACGGAAAAGTCGAAGAAGAAGCTGGAGGTCTCGTAACTTCAGCCTCGTTTGTTTAGCTAACGAGATGCAGATGGACGAAATAAACCACACAGTAATATGATTTGGTGATAATTATTGACTTGTATTAATAACTGTGCTCTCCGTTTCTGGAATTTGACCATAGTTTCACGATGGAAACTGAATCACAGCACAGAACACAGACGAGAGATATGAAAACCAAACTTCAGTCTCTATAGTTACAAAGTGCAGTGAATGTTAAATAAATAGAAATAGAAGCATAAATATCTCATTTTAAACAAAGCAAATCCCTGCATAAGGAATTTCAATAAAGAATTCACCCGAGAAATTATTATTGAATTATTATTGAGTTAATGAATGATTTCTTTCCAAAAGGCTGATAAGTTAAAAAAAATAATAGCAGCCTATATAATTTACTTCTTAAATCAGATCACTTCACCAAATAATCAGGATCCAGTTTCCCAAAAGCCTCTTAGTGTTCAAATCATTTTAACTAGGAGAGAGAGCGTTCAGTGTGATGCTCGCTCTACCATTTCAGACACGTGTAGTTTGTCTACCATTTCTTTGTGCTGAGATGCTGTCTGGACATCCAGCTTGAACAGTTTTTCTCGTCAAGCAGACCGAAACTGATGCTGCAGCGCCGCCCTGTGAGTGTAATCTGTATTAGTGGGATCTGCGTGTTTGTGCTGTCGAAGGTTACAGGGGAATTCCACCGAGTTTTCAAAAATTTTGCGTAAATCAGTAGGGATGCACCAATATCGCCTTTTCCCTTTCAATGCCCGATACCTGATCCTTGAGTATCGGCCGATACAGAGTATCAATACTCTGTTTAACCTAACTAGCCTGTATTGTGTATATATATTACATACATTCGGTATCAGTCATAGGTATTGGTATCCCTATAAACGATACTGTGCCAGTGCCAACGTTGGTGCCGATACCGATACAGTATTCGTATTGGTGCAAACCTATAAAGGTGTTACCAAACATAAATTATCCTCTAAAAGTGTTATAGCACAAGTCGTTCAGTTAGAAGTCGCTAGGTTAGAAGTTTTATTGTTTTTATATGATCTCTGGCATGTCTCGATAAAGGCAATTTTGCTTGCTTTTTTTATTTACTTGTGTTTGCCTCAGTTCAACTGATGAAAATGCACCCAGTTTACATTCTGTTTTTTGTGATGTGAACATTGTGTTGCTAACAAATGTGGAAAATAATTACAATCAGCTCAAATAATTGCGATCAGTCAATTATGTAATAACTGTGACAAGTTAATGTGTAGGTTTACTGGTCATTCTGGATAGTAAATAAAATGTTTCTTATCACCGCCACTGTAAAGACATCTCAGTCAATATGTTTCTCTACAACGGACCATTTCACATTAAACCACTCTGACTTTGTTTGCATCAACATTTGAATATTGCAGAATTTTTAAAAATCAGTGTAATTCCTCTTTAATAGGCTGGACACTTCTTTTTCACAGGGTGACATATTGTTTGTGTGTTTGTTGCTTTTCAGGAAGTCGCTGACGTTCACCAGAGCCGAGGGGATGGCCATGTTTACCGTCGCCCCAACACCAAAAGCAAGAGGCCTCTGAAATGGCCAGCATCTGGGCACCTTGTGCTGCAGTCCGGTCTGCTTTGTGTCTCAGAGCTCAAAGCAGAAGATGGGCAGCATTAACAGTCTGGGGGTAAGATTCCTCATTCACCCTGTACATGGATATCATGTTTGTTGATGTTCATAACTTCGGTGACGTGATGAACTGTCAAAACATAAAAAGAGGTGACCACAAATTGGAATTCAAATGAAGAGATTGTAAAATTGAGAAGAATAGGTACCTTTCAGAATTATAGGAACCTGAAAATAGGAAATAATTAGGAGAATGGATAAAAGTAAAGTCTATGTAGAGTAGCCTAAACACCATTATCAAGTAAAACTACCTTTCTAAAAACAACTAAAGGTAGTACAAGCACAAGAGAACGAGGTCAAGAAGGTACTTTAAGCACCTAATAGAATCGCAGTAAAATTTCTTAGTATATCCAGCATTTAAGAACTGAAGTTGTCTTAGGTTATAGAAGTGTGTAATAAAACTTCGGGCCCACCGGCGAGCCCTGGCCATATAAGGGGTTAAACTGTGCTTTTGTTAAGTAATCTTAAATATACCTGCTTAAGTGACATTGCATAGCTAGAAACAGTAATAGCAAACATCTTGGAGCCTCAATTTTGCCCATGCTCAGGGGGGAAATTGTGTAAATATTTTGGGGCAAATCGTCCCTTTAATTGAGCCCAGTAGCTGAAGCACTGAGACCACGAGTGTGGAAGATGCTGGTCTGTTCTTGGAAGCAGGCTTGTTTTATCGTGATTTGTTTTTGGTTTGATTTTTTACAGGAGGATCCTGAACTTCACAAGCCCCTCGTGGAGGAAGCCCTCACAGGCCCTGCAGGTTGGATTACCTTTTGGGCCCTCATAATTCGCATAATGCCAGAATTTCTAAGGGTAAACTTGCAGCATATGGTTCTTTAAAGAACTTCTTCAAAATGGTTATTTATCTCCAGTTCGGCTCTCATGGAACCTTTACAAAGCAATTTTTGCTAGGAATGCAGCTGACACACGTGTTAATCTTGTATATCACATGTGCTGTGTATTTGTTTTTGACCATGATTTCAGTAAAGATGAATGTTGATCTACATTACTTGCTACTTCTGTTTCAGTAATCTCTAATACTCTTTCAGTAATCTCTGATAAAGGTGCCTTGATTCTAAGGTTTATGAGTAAATGTAAAAGAAATGTGTTCAAAAGACAAATAAAACCGTGAAATCGTCGAAATTGTGTGAAATACTATATTTAAAAAAATAAATAAATTCAAAACGTAACTGTGTGTACCTGTATGACCCCAAACTCGGAGGCTCACTGACGGGAATGAAACGCCCACTACCGGAAAAATAGTCCAGCCTACAGAGAACTGTAAATCCTCATGAAACCGAGCTGAAGAGCAATAAAACAACACTGACTGAAGAAAGGAGGTGAGCTGATGAGCTACACGGCTTTTATCTAAGAAAAACGAGCATAAAAACATGAGACCACAAAATGCAGACCACAAAGCCGCTATTGCTATAATGCTAATGTCGTTTTGAACATTTCAGCCACAGATCCGTTGGCTTTAGCCTAAATCTCAGAGAATGAGGAATGAGTATGTTTTATCCAGAATGAGGTGTTTTAGTTAACATGGCCTGACTTTTGTTGTCGGTTTTAAACCTAATGAAATCTCCTTCTGCTAAGACCAAGTTGAAATTGGCGTCTTATTCTATTTTATCCGTTCCACCTTAAATAGCGCGGCCGTTACATTCTCAGAACTTGTACTGATGAAGCGGCTCTGATGCACCAGCGGCACCGTTTAAGGTGGAACGGAAAAGTTGAATGAATGGCGAATAGGAGGTCAACTTCAGCCTCGTTTGTTTAGCTAACGAGATGCAGCTGGACGAAACAAACCACGCATTAATATGATTTGGTGGTAATTTTTGACTTTATTTGGCTATTAATAACTGTGCTCTCCATTTCTGAATATGTGCCTTTAGTTTCACGAGTTTCACGATGGCTGCTTCACAAAACAGAGCACAGGCATAAACACTAAACTTCAGTCTCTCGTCACAGAGTGCAGTGAATGTAAAATTAGAAATAAATTGCTCATTAAGAAAAGCAAATGGCTGGAGAAGGACATTAAGAATGAATCAGGAAAATGATTATTGAATTATTACGGAGGTGTTGAATTATTTCTTTCCAAGCTGGTTAACGTTTCAGTTAAAATAACAGAAGCCATAACCCATAACTTTATTTCTTAAAACCAGTCACCAAATAATCAGGATCCAGTTTCCCAAAAGCGTGAGCTGGTGTTCAGGTCAGCTTCACTGGTACGGAGTGTTTTCAGAAACATCTATGCTGCAGCGCCGCCCAGTGGTCGTAACCTGTATTAGCGGGACCGGCGCGTTTAAAGGGGAATTCCACCGGGTTTTCAAAATTTCGCTGAGTAGCAAACACTGTGATTCAGAATCTGTTGACGTGAAACGCAGCATTGTTGAGAGACTCACCGAACCAGATTTCTTTACAGTGGTGGTGATGGGAACCAGGGGTTGCATCATCAGCAACAAATATAGACTTTTTATTTACTATCCAAACTGAGCAAGAAGGTGCACTAAATGCCAGTTTCAGGAGTGCCAATAATTGTGAGGTTGGTATACATGGAAAAGTATTAACGAAAATATTTGTATGTGCTTACATTTTTGATCTGTTTATAAACATGTAACTTAAGTTATATAATTAAATAACAGTTAAAAAGATACAGATACGCTGTCTGAGGTCTAAGACTTTGTTTTATCATACACCGTTAGAAATAAAGGTTCTGTGCAGGTAAATTTTTGTTCATCAAGGTACAAACAATGTTAGTGTACCTCAAATGTACAACAGTGGTGTTAATGTCCAAATGTGCACCTTAAATAAATTGAAAAGTATATATTTGTACCTACCGCGACCCAGAAGGATAAGCGGTTTAGATGATGTATGTATGTATGTATATTTGTACCTGTTCATAATCTAATGTTTTAAAACAGAACAATAAAATGAAAAGCCTGGAGACGAGACGGGGTGTGTGGAGTCAATAGAAAATATCATTTCAATGGATTATTCAATGGACAGTTATGTTCCCTGAGTGAAGGTACTGAGATGTATCCTTGAGGGGACCACCCCAGTGACAAGAGGGGTACTGCCCCAGAGACAGTTTAGTACCTTTTTTTCTGAGGGTGTAGTTTGAAATTGACTTTTTTTTACTGTTAACAAACATCATATAAACAAACATTATTCTACTGCCCTCTAAAGATGTTATTAATAAAACATCATATAAACAAACATTACTCACCACCGCCCTCTAAAGGAATGTCTTGATAAATGTGTGTCCTGCTTTCTTTTATTTACTGTATTTATTATATACTGTATCTATTATCTTCAAACCAGCTTATGAAAATGCACCCATTCACATTCTGTTTGTTGTGATGTTAACATTGTTCAGCTCACAACTGCGGAAAATAATTGCAGCTCAAATAATTACAATGAGGCGATTACGTAATAACTGTGACAGGTCTTTGTTTTGGAGAGTAAATAAAATGGTTCCTGTCGCCACCACTGTGAAGTGAACAATTTTTTTGAACAGTGTGCAGTATTGTTCGTGTTTGTTGCTCCTTAGGATGTCGCTGACGATCTCCAGAGCCGAGGGGGTGACCGTGTTCACTGTCACCTCCAACCCCAAAAGCAAGTGGCCGCTGATTTGCCAGCTTCTGAGCACCTTGTGCTGCAGTCCGGTCTGCTCTGTGTCTCAGAGCATGAAGCAGCAGCTGGGCAGCATTAACAAAGTTCTGGGGGTAAGATTCCTCATTCACCCTGTACATGGAAATCGCGGGGTTTCTTCTTTGTTGCCTTTGTTTGGTAATTTACCACAGCAAGACTGAGATAAGACTTTATAAATGAATGAAAAACACACTTTCAAAACTTCAGTGATGTGATTTACTGTCAAACATAAAAAGAAACTAGAACTCATTTGAAAAGATTGTAAAATTGAATAGAAAAAGTACTTTTCAGAATTACAGGAACATGAAAATGATGAATAATAATTAAGGGAATGGATAACAATACTGAATGCAAGGCTAATTAGGTCTTTGTTCGCACAGCAGGTAAAAGTGGACCAAATCCAGTCTTTTTCTTATATGTGTTATCTGAGTGCCAGTGTGAACCGCAAAAACTCTTTGAATCTGACATTTTCAGTTCCAGTTTGGGACACTTTCATATGTGGTACTGAAATCTGATACGTATTCAATATGAATACCTCGACCTGATCAGCCAGATCGGAATTCAGACGACTTTTACGTCAATCCAACTCGACATTCTGAACACGGCCATAGGAGAACGAGGCTGCAGTGTCTGACAGCAAAGTTTAAAGAAACCAAGGACGCAATTCAAATAAATAATGTGGCTAAATAACGTGTCCTTTTTACAGCTTGAATGTATTCAGGGTGATGAGCCCAGCTGTCAGACTTCTTATAAGCTCCCGTGATGCTGGCGAAGATGAAACTGAGACCTCCAGGCGCGGCTGTTACTGTTGGCTGTTGTTATTGTTTACCTCTGGATGAGTGGCCATGTGAAGCATTGTTCATTTGCACATATGGGTCAGTTTGGGAGCATGATCTGTTCAGGTCAGATGTGTTCCTGCTTGATTAGAAAGAAAACCTGTAGCCGAGAACATCGGTGACCCCTAATCTAGACTATGTAAAAATCTACGCATCTCTTCCCACAGACTCTACAGATTCTGTTTGGAATACTCAGTGTGGTCGTTTGGTGTATCTTCATAGATGGTCCCATCTTCACTTATGCTTGGGTCAGCATCTTTTTGTTTGGTGGAGTGGTAAGAATTTGATTTAACTTGATTTACATAATTTCATTAACACTTAAACCCCAGTTTAATTCATCATTTTAAATGTAACCTTTTGGCCTTTTGGACTTCTTATTGTCAACAAATGTAACTGTGAATAAAAGTATGTAAATTAATTAAATCAATTATGTATACAAGTATAAGTATACACTGACCGGCCACTTCATTTAAACTACCTCCTTGTTTCTACACTCATTATCCATTTTATCAGCTCCACTTACTATATAGGTGCATTTTGTAATATTATAATTACAGACTGTAGTCCATCTGTTTCTCTGCATACTTTGTTAGCCCCCTTTTACCCTGTTCTTCAATGTTCAGGACCCCCACAGGACCCTCACAGAGCAGGTACTGTTTGGGTGGTGGATCATTCTCAGCACTGCAGTAACACTGATGTGGTGGTGGTGTGTTAGTTTGTGTTGTGCTGGTATGAGTGGATCAGACACAGCAGTGCTGCTGGAGTTTTTAAACACTGTGTCCAGTCACTGTCCACTCTATTAGACACTCCTACCTTGTTGGTCCACCTTGTAGATGTAAAGTCAACATACACCATGTCAGTGTCACTGCAGTGCTGAGAATGATCCACCATGCAAATAATACTTGCTCTGTGAGGGTCCATGGGGGTCCTGACCACTGAAGAACAGGGTAAAAGGGGGCTAACAAAGTATGCAGAGAAACAGATGGACTACAGTCTGTAACTGTAGAACTACAAAGTGCTCCTATATTGTAAGTAGAGGTGATAAAATGGACATTGAGTGTAGTTATAAGGAGGTAGTGTTAATGAGGTGACTGGTCGTGTATAATAAAAAAAAATCATCACTTCAGTTTTGTGTTCTGTGTCATTTTCTCTATATAACTGACAAATGATCTTTTTCTATTTTTCTTCATTTCATAAGTTAATTGCAGCTGGCATCACATGCATCCTTGCTGACAAGTTTCCCAGTCCATGCCTGGTGAGTTTCACTTTTTAGATTTAAAAGATGAGTTTTAAATACTTCATTATTAAAACCAAAGTTTATAAATTGGTTATACTGTATTCTATAATGCTAATCATTTGTCCAAGATCATTTTTTTTGTAATATGTACGGTAATGATATGATATGCAATAAATATTATTACAGAAAAACTAATAATAATAAAAATATAAATGCATCTGTGAAAAGTTATTTAATGCTTAAAAAATAAGGATTGTAAAGGTATGTGGAATAATATATGGAATAATTATTATTAATAATAAATAAATGGAAAAAAACAGGAGTTTCCAAAACCTGGAGTAATGAATGAATGTGACTCCTGACAACTTCTAGTATATTTAGTTGCTTTTGCTTGTTTTCTGTTTTAATGATGTTGAAAAATTAGTAACTTGTGCTCGATGGCTGTTTTGACTTATAAAAAATAAATAAATAAAAAATACATGGGCCTGAATTAGCACCACCGCCACCGCCTGGGTTATGCAGCCCAAAGATTCAAATTTATTTTTATTACAATGAACCAAAATAACAGTTTAAAAAAGCTAAATGTTTCATTACACTAAATGTCACAAACACTTGAAATGAGCCTCCATCCTGTTTGAAGTTTTTACAGTGTGTTGATCTTTCTCTTTTACAGGTGAGCTTTATGGTCCTGGTGAATCTAGTCAGTGTTGGACTGGCTGTAACTGCCATTGTGTTCTGTTCAGTGGCGTTGAGACTGATGTATTTTGATAACAACTGTAATCCAGTTGATTACTTATATTATAGTTTTCATCATGAGAAGATAACAACAGTATCTCCTCTGAAGAAAGCTCAAATTAATGAGCTGCTGGAGGAATGTGAGCGTTACCAGGACATGCTGAAGGTATTTTGTTTATTACTGCAGTACAAAAACACACTTTATAAGTTTTTTTTTTTTAATATGTAACAATAGTTTTAAGTACACTGGCTAATTTTTAAAATCACTAAAATATAGATCTCTCTAAATTCCAATCTTCTGGAATATTAGAATGTAAATCAAACATAAAATCAAATCTAATTAATCATGTAAGTATGTTATTGCAATGCTGTGTTTTCACAGCAAACTGACAACAATGACTCACAGCTTCTAAAGGTTAAAATTGCATTGCTTAAAGAATTCATTCTTCTCCTCCTAGTTTGTGCAGGGAGGAGTGGAAATCATGACGATTGTGTTTGCCAGCCTTCAAATTTGTCTCACTATCAGCTCGTGTGTTCTGAGTCTGAAGGCTCTGTTCAAGAAGAAGAAAGGAGATGAAATGGTATGAATGTCCTTAATTGGATGGTCTGGAAAATCCCCCTTAATGTAGTTGACCAGCCTTGAGATGTTAGGTATCTGAAGTTTCCTTAGTTTTGCATTTGAGCTGCATGTCCATGTCCATGTGTACACACTTTTGCAAGCAGTACACACTTTTGCAAGCAGTTGCCTGCTGTGACTGAGCCCTTCAGAGCAAAAGAGATGCTGCAGCAGAGGTGCTCAATCCTGGTCCTGGAGATCCACCACCCTGGGGAGTTCAGAGCCAACACACCTGGCTCTAACATTCAGGTGCTTCTGAAGGCCTTCATTACCTGGATCAGGTGTGCTAGATTAGAGTAGGAGCTAAACTCCACAGGGTGGTAGATCTGAAATTCCAAAGGTTGACAGCTGGGTTCTTCACCCAGAATGTGTTTGAGCTTGCTGTAAAAAGTGCACGTTATTCGGCCACAGCCACTTCTTTGGTTCGTGTTCTCTTTAAATTTCTTACAATTTTTTTGATGCTGCGACCTTGGGCTCCTATGGCCTCATTTCTCTTCTCTTCAAACACGGAGCAGTTGCGATATGTGTCTTCTAATTTTTTGGTACAGAAACATCAGCCTAAATGTTTATGAGGTCTCAGCAGGGCAGAATTATGACGAATGTCGAGTTGGATTGACGTAAAAGTCGCATGAATTCCGATATGACTGTTAAGACTTAGTCACATTGCCGCTACCAGATACGGGTCGGTTTTCAGTAACACATATGAAAGTGTTTCAAATCGGAATTGAAAATGCCAGATTCAATCAGTTTTTTTTGGTTCACACTGACACACAGAGAACACATCTGTGTCACATATGAAGAACGGATTTGGGCCACTTATACCTGCTGTGCGAACAAAGCCTTAGGCTACGTTCACACTACCAGGTTGAAGTGGCACAAATCCGATTTTTTGCCCTAATGTTACTCAGATCTGATGTTTTCAGGGCTGTGTGAACACACAAATCTGATCTTTTCAAATCCGACCTGAGCCACTTTCATATGCGGTCCTAGATCGGATACGTATCTGATTTGTGGATGTGCGACCTTAATGTGACGCTCAGATTGGAATTTGTGTGCTTTTGTAAAACTTGAATCATTCAGCGTTACCATGGCAACAGCGCCGAACAGAAGCCTGTCAACGCTGGAAAAGCAACACATATCACCGTTTTCACCTTCGTCTCGCTTCCAAAAAGCTGAGAGCTGATCAGAGTTAATTATCTTCTCAGCGGAGCTCGTTCTGCTCGTTAGTTTGTTTGATGATGATGCATATGATTCAATCACGTGACGTTACTGAGTAGGATGTTCATGTGGGTCATTTCAGGACGCCGGTTCGTTCACATTAATGACAGATTTGAATCACTTACCTAAACGAGTGTGAACCATCCTGTCAGAGAGATCAGATTTGAACTAAAAATCGGATTTGAACAATGAGGCTTGTAATGTGAACGTAGCCTATAGACTTCCTAATGTGGCATTGCACAGCTGAAAACAGTAATAGCAACCATCTAAAAACCTGGATTTTGTCCGTGCTCAGAGGAAAAATATGTAAATATAAGTTTTGGCCAAACCTTTACTTTGATTAAGCTCAATAGCTGAAATACTGAAATCGTGAGTGAAGAAGTGGCTGTTCTTGGATGTAGGCTTGCTTTAATGTGATTTGTTTTTGGTTTGGTTTTTCACAGGAGGATCCTGAATTTTACAAGCTGCTCATGGAGGAAGGCCTGACCAGCCCTGCATGTTAAACACTTTCAATCCCCATAATTCACGTAATTCCAGAATTTCTATACAGCACTTTCCTGTAGTCTTTGTGTTCTGTAATGTTCTATATTCTAATGAGAGACATTATTATTACTGTGATCTTCATTACGGTACTCTCTTAAAAATCTGTTCTTTAAGGGTTCTTTATTAAAAACAACAGTGTTATAAAGAACTATGACAACTCAAAGAACCATTTCATGCATAAATGGATCTTTGCATCGTTAAATGGTTCTTCGCTATGATGGAAAACATGCAGTAAATGGTTCTGTGAAGAACCTTTTAAAATGGTCATATATAGCACCATAAGCGTTCTGCCGTCATAGAACCTTTTTGGTACTGTATAGAACGATTTTTGCTGAGAATGTAGTCTGGTTCACACATTTTGATCTTTCACATGTGCTACATATATGTAACCATGATTTCATGAACTTAAATAAAGAAGAAATGCATGTTCATCTGTGCTGCCTGCTGCTTCTGTTCAAAGCTTCTGCAAAGTTAAAAAAGAAAATTTCAAGCACCAAACATGTCTTGCTAGATTATTTGGGCTAAAGTGGAATTGTAAATTGGTTTTTCTGAATATTCTTATTGGAACATTCTGATATTTTGCAGTGGTGGACGGTAAACAAAGTACACTAAATCCATCCCCTAAATACTTAATGTCCAATAGCAGCTTAGCTGTAACTAGGTAAATAACTATTACCTTCAGTGTATGAAATACACACTGGTTTTTTACGAGGGGGGCCCCTGTTGACTGGCTGCTAAGTTACTGTCCATAGTGACGCTGATGCTGGCTTAAATAGCAGCAAAATGTTTGGTTTAAAAAATCTTCCTTTGGAAATTCTCGTCTAATTTGGTAATGCGCTCTTCCACACATTAACTCAGATCTTACTCATCTCCTCCTCTGTCTTCTTTTGAGAAATGAGTAACAATTCAGCCTTTGTACCTTTTGGGAAATTGCTGTGTTAAGCTGCTTTGATTTAATGCTGCAACACTGCCTTGTGGTTGTAGACTGTATAAGATGATGTAGCAGGGATTAGCTAGAGCGGATTGGCAACATGCGGCTCTGTTACTTTCTTGTTGCGGCTCCACAGCAGAATTAGATATTTAGGTAAAAATAAAATATCCTCCTTTGCAGTAAAATAAAGCTCTGTTGATTGTTCTAACACTGTTTTAACAAAAAATGTTTTTAAATACTGGAGATGTATAACTGCTAATGCACCCTTTAACTCTGAAGATTGGCACTGAATGGTCTTAAACGCTGGAGATAAATGTATATCTGTTAATAGACCACTGTAGCTGTGCGTCATTCTATAGTCCTCGTTATGCCCATATTAGGAACTCCGGGTCTGAGCTCCATTTCTCTATGGCCAGAATGTATAGGGTTTTCGAAAAATTGCCTCTATCGCCCTGTGTTAAATAAAAATGTTCAGAACCCGATATGTTTTGTCCTGTAAACATTCTTCTCTCAAATAACACTGGATCCTCTGAATTACGAGGCCGTCAAAGAGTTGAAATATGAATGTTGCTACATGCGAGCTAAAGCTACTGCGCATCAATTTGATGTCTAAACTACACGAAACTAAGGCGGGCTGTGCTGGTGCTCCTTTGAGCCATGCTACCTTATAGTGTTACAAAGGGTAGTGGTTGATCTTGCCCTATGAAACCTTGCTTCATTAACAGACTACTAGCGCTGCTCTGTAGGTGACCCGGCCCGTCTTCAGTGAGAGCAGAGAAGGGTAAAGTTCAGCAACCTCACTGCTGGGCTTTAGTTACATTTAGAGCATCATATACTTTCAAAGAGGGGTTAAGACAATTATTTATTATCGCCCACCGCTAATTCTTCGGTGATACGAAGCTGAAGTCAGCTATTCACCAGCTTCTTGTTCAAATTTTCCCGTTCCACCTTAAATGGAGCAGCAGTTACACTGCTGGACTATTTAAGGTGGAACGAGAAAATTAGCTAACTAGCTACCAAAACATTAGTATACTTTTAGCGATTAATTATGCTTGTTATGAAGAAATGACGGTAATACACTGAAACAACATTAAACTAAAATAATACAATGGTTGTTGTAATTTTTGAACTGAGAACATCCTCACATTTGTGGGTCTCTTCGGTTGCTCGCGCAGCCATCTTGCCGTTTTTTTCTTTTTTTTTCTCATAACACTGATTGGGACACCCTACCCCTAGACGTGAACGCGCAAAACAGAGGGCTAAGGGCTAAGTGGTAGGGGCAAGGGGTGAAATGGGATTGGGCCTTGGTCACCATAGCAACACAGACAAGAGTCTCGCCTAGCTAGTAGCTAACGGAAAGGCAAAGACAGACATCGATAATTTGGAGACGAATGGACTTGTTGGCATTTATAAGAACTACTGCTACGTTTAATCTGCAACGAAAAACCGTCAAACACTAAAAAACGTCGAGATGTTCGAATTTTCCCGTTCCACCTTAAATAGTGACAGAGTAAACTGCTGCACCATTTAAGGTGGAACGGGAAAATTGGAATAAGAAGCCGCGAATGAGGAGCTGACTTTAGCCTCGTAAAACGTTGAGATATTTTACAAGGAACTATTCTAGGTTAGCTACTTTTGAGGAAAAGTTTCTGCTGGAGATGCGAGAAAAGCGGCTGTAGCTGAGGTAAAGCTTAAAGCAGAGCTTTAGTCTGCATTTTCGTTTGTAGCTTATCATATTTTTAGCCTTTACTAGCACATTAGCACATACTGAGACATATTTGCAGCCAAGAAGGTCAAGTGGACATAAAATGTGGCTCCTAAAGTGGTTTGATATTTGTTGGACATTCGGATTGCCGAACCCTGAGCTAGCAGAACCTGCTCGTTTTGTGTTTCTGAGGATTAAAAATAAAAGAAAAAACGAAAGTGAGTCGTCAGTGTCAGGAACTCAGCTAAAGAGCTGCAGTACAGGTTTGTAGGGAAGCCTCAACAGCGAGACTGAAAAAGGCTGAAAGACCTTCACAGAATAAGGTGAGTCATCACACATCCTGTTCATTATCTGTAAAATACTCTAATGTGATGCTACTGGTGTGAAAATACCGGGAGAGATTTTAAAGCCAGGTGAAACTTTCAGGTTTGGTGTCGAAGAAGAAGATACAAGGTAGACTAAGGAAGTGGTCACTGTGTTTTAAGCCCATAACAGCAAAACGTCCATGGTTTGTTTCATATTTGTGCTGTTATTTTGTGCGGTTTTGTGTTGTTTGTGCTGTTCTGAGCGTTATAAGTGAAGACTCTTTAAGGTGCACTAAATGTAGGACACACTTAAAAATGATGGTTATTCACGGGTTCTTAAGTAAAGAAATTGGTTCTATATAGAACTGTGAACACTCAAAGAACCCTTGGCATGTTTAAGGTGTTCTTTTCATGGTGAAAGCGTTATTCAGATTGATGGAGAGTGTGCTATAGATGGTTCTATATAGCACCTACTTGAAAAGGGTTCTATTTAGCACCAAAGAGGGTTCTGCTGTTGTTACAGTGCCAAGCTTGTACCAATAGAAGAACCCTAGAGTGATCATTGTTCTATATAGAACTAATTTCTTTACTTAAGAACCCTTGAAGAACCATCATGTTTGAGTGTAGCAAAAGTACAAAATACTGTACTTTAGTACCAAAAAAAAAGTCTTTATTAAATGTTTAATAAGGATTCTTCTCTATTATTTGAATAACTGTGCCTTACTGAAAGTCATATTTCCAGAGTGAGATCAAGCTGGCATTTTTTTTCACATCTTTTTAAATGTGCAAATGGGGCACTGTATTTCTCCCTGCTGAAAAAAAATCCAGCTAAGATCAGCTTTTGCTGGTTTCAGATGGTCTAGATGGACAAGCTGGACATCCAAATGCTGGTCTTGCTGATAGGCCAGTTAAATTATCAAACTCAATCTAAAAACATACTCTATCCTGGTAAACCAGGTATGCTGACTTACCAGCGTAACTAGCTGGAGCAGATCAGTTGCTCTGTACAAAGTGTTACTTGGTTAAAGTAAATGGTACTTTACACAATTCTGGCTTGTTTTAGCAATATAAAATTTTGTTGAAGAAGAAATTTAATATCTTCTCTCATACATTTATGCTGCCAAAATCTCATTTCTCTTAACAACACACTAAACCCAGTAAGCATAATGGCATTGGACAGATTTGGCTGATAGTAACTTTATTTACTGTACCCTGGAAACGCAGTATGTTTAGATGACTCTGGGCCGTTGCACTAAATATGCGCATTTTATTAATTTTACTGCATTTTTAACTCTCCAGAAATGAATGTTCTGTGTTTCTGTGTTTTTTTCTTTTTTGTTTTTTTAGTTTGTTGCTTATCAGGATGTCGCCGATGATGACCAGAACCGAGGGGGGGACCGTGTTTACCATCACCTCCAGCACCAAAAGCAAGAGGCCGCTGATTTGCCGGCTTCTGGGCACCTTGTGCTCCAGTCCGGTCTGCTTTGTGTCTCAGAGTTTGAAGCAGCAGCTGGACAGCAGTAACACAGTTCTGGGGGTAGGACTCCCACACTCACACTGTACATACATATCACGTTTGATATGATTATCATGATTTACCCTCAAACCATAAAAAGAGAATGTGTAGAGCTACGTAAGCAAATGTAAAAGTACCTTTCCTTAAAAAAACATCTTGTAGAAGTACACAAGGTCAAAAGACTACTCAGTACTTAATAAAGTAAATAACTTCAGCAGAACTTCTTAGTACATCCTGCATCTATCAGCATAGGAACTGAAGTTTCTTGCAGTCTGTTCTTCTCTTTTTGGGATCGTTTGGTCTAAAATGAAATTGTAAAGCTCCAAAGTGAAAGATGTGAGCAACTGCAAAGCTGTACTGATGCTTTCACCAGCATAATTTAATCACACTAAATACAAACACGTGATTTGTAACTAAATATGATGACTAAAATATAGATTCCTTTTTGTACAAATATACATGAGTAGAAATAAAAGTGTTACAAATGGAAAATTTTGGGAAAATACCCAACAGAATGTTAGCTGAGTGCATGGAACTGAGTAAATGGAACTACTACCCACCTCTAGCAACAATGAAAACAAGAAAAAAAAATCATCTCAGCAGGTTTGCACACATGTACATAAAGGCTAGTCTGAAAATTCACAGAACTCAACATACGCTGGTTTCACCTGTGACCTGCTATGCTGGTTCTTCTGGCAGGGAAACAACATGAATAAGTAAAATATTTAGAAGCAGTTTTCCGCATCAAAGGAATGCAGACTGGATGCAGAGGGATTTTTTTATTTTGCCGTGTTGTTCTTGCTGTGAAAGAAACAAGCAGGCAGAATGTCTTTAAGTGGCACAGAAATCAGTTACACCCCACAAGAAGGGTAAACATTGACATCAGGACACTTTCACCTTGGAAAAGGGAACGAAAATATATTCAAATTTTCTTCAGTATATAAAATATTCTTGTTCTATTTCTTGTATTTGTTGAATAACAGATTCTAGTTCTGATCTAAAGTTAAGAAGTTAGTCACATTTTAATTTTCATGATTGATGTAACAGTAGCTTTGTTCAGAGTTTAGACTATGTAAAAACCTACTCCTCTCTTCCCACAGACTCTACAGATTCTGTTTGGATTAATGACTTTGGCTGTTGAGTGTATCTATACACGCCTTCAGTTATTTGATCTGCTGTTCAGCGCCACCTTTTGGTTCGGGGCAGTGGTGAGAATTAACTTTAATGATTTCATTAACCCCTTAAACTGCAGACTTGTTATTCATCTTAACCTCTTAACCTCCTAATGTCCGTCTCTGAAATTTAAAGCATTCCATATTGGTCCATATGTTCTCTAATGTTGCCTGAGTGCCTGTGGGTTTTGTCATTTAATTGCCTCATATCATGGAAAAACACATTTTTCTTGCTTTTTCGAAATAAGAATTTGATGTAGTATGTAAACACTGTTAAAGTCTTAAAATATACCGTTTACCGTTACATTTGATGTAGTATGTACATACCATTCCATACAAAATAACTCCAAAAACAACTTCTTATGTATTTACTGTTCCTGTGATGCCATGAAAAAAAACAAAACATCCACATACATCCACCTATGCAGCCTACAGTAGTTTAGCCCCACCCATTGACATTGAAGTTATAAGGAGTGTTTCAGTCTGGACTGCTTTTTGAATGAGGAGCAATACAGGGCAGCCAATCAGAACAGAACTCATTTACATATTTCAGTCTTAAAGGCACAGTAAGAAAAACAGTTTAAAGAAGAGAGGTTGGAGAATGGTCATGTATAATAATGTTTTATTAAAGTGGATTTCAGCAGAAAAAAATGCTGCTGATTTTTGACAAACAGGAAACTTGAATGAAAATGAAAATATGAAAATTACTGTTAGATATTTATACAAGGTATAACAATGCACTTTCTTATTATCAGTTACTAGCAGTCATGATTTAAGTAACTAGTTATGAGAGTGAGGACCCACAGTTCCTTGGGCTTATAAAGGATTAAAATTAGTTGTATAATATGACGTCCATTTCAAACATGTTGCTTTATTATGATTTTCCAACAAATCTGACAAATTCTCTTTTTCTGTTTTACCTACAAGTTAATTGCAGCTGGCATCTTTTGCAACCTTGTGCACAAGTTCGCCAGCCCATGCATGGTGAGTTTCACTCTCCAATTGAAGGATGAGTCAAACAACAGTCTATTAACCACATTATTAGTTATACAGCACTCTAAAGTGTAAATAAATCAGAATACAATGATGTGCATCATTGAAACCCTACATATGAAATGTTGAAATGAGGAATTTTATTGTTTTTTTGTTTTTCTAAAACAATTTAGTTTTTAGTTTTTATTTTCTTCATAAAAATTAATGTGGCAAAGAAAATAAGAACTAAAAACTAGATTGTATTAGAAAAACAGTTTTCAGACGATTGCTAAAAGCACATATTAAAACTTAATGGTTCTGTAATCTCTTCTTTACTGAAGCACATTGTTCCTTTGTTATTTTTTTCATGCTGTGGTTTATTGGTTATCATCATCATCATCATCTTTAACTGTTTAGTCCAGATAGGGTTGCGGTAGCAGCAGTTGGGAGAGCAGAGAATCCCAGACAACCCTGTCCCCTGCAACTTCCTCCAGCTCATTCTGGGGGACACTGAGCCGCTCCCAGGCCAACTTGGAGATTTAATCCGTCCAGCGGGTCCTAGGCCGACCCCGGGGTCTTGTTCCAGTAGGCAGTGCCTGGTAAACCCACTGGAAGGCATCCAGGGGGCATCCTGATCAGAAGCCCAAACCTCCTCTACTGACTCCTTTCAATGCGGAGGAGTAGCGGCTCTACTCTGAGCTCCTCCCGAATGACCGAGCTCCTCACCCTATCAAGTAGAGTGTAGCCCGCCACCCTGTGAAGAAAGCTCATTTCCACCAAGGTTCAACTATTGGTTGGAGTCTCCTTTCAGCACCTTGGCATAAACTTTCTCAGGGAGGCTGAGCAGTGTGATACCCCGGTAATTGGCACACACCCTCCGGTCCACTTTCTTAAAAATAGGGACCACCACCCTGGTCTGCCAATCCAAGGGTACTGTTCCCGAGGTCCGTGTGACATTGCAGAGGCGTGTCAGCCATGACAGCCCCACAACATCCAGAGCCTTAAGTATTTCTGGGCTAATCTCATCCACCCCCGGTGCCTTGCCACTGAGGAGCTTGCCAACTACCTCAATGACCTCCACCAGGAAAATGGAGTCTGACATGCCAGAAGCTTCTGGCCCTGACTCCTGTGAGGGGGGCATGTCTCTCGGATTAAGGAGTTCCTCAAAGTGCTCCTTCCACTGACAAACATCATCCTCATTTAAAGTCAGAGTTTCTCCAGCCCTGCCGAATACAGCTTGGGTGAAGCCACCCCAACCGCTCCTGAGTTGCCGGATGGTTGTCCAGAACCTCCTTGAACCTCCTTGAAGCCAACCAAAAGTTTTTTCCATGGCCTCGCTGAACTCCTCCCACATCCTGAATTTTGCTTCAGCCACCACTGCCGTCAGTACCTATCTGCTGAGTCGGGCCATCCTGCCCCCCTCACCACCCATATCCACCAGGGAGTTTTTGTGTTACCCCACTGGAAAGCTCTCCTGGAGGTGGGAGTTAAAATCATTCCAAACAGGGGCCTTTGCCTGTTGTTCCCATCACACCCTCACTGTTCACTTGGGCCTACCGGGTCTGACCATCAGTCTTCCCTGCCATCTGATCCAACTCGCCACCAGATGGTGATTGGTTGACAGCTCAACACCTCCCTTCACCCGAGTGTCCAGAACATATGGTTCCAAGTCAGATGAAACAACAACAAAGTCAATCATTGACCTTTGACCCAAGGAGCTCTGGTACCACATACACTTATGAATATTCTTGTGTTCGAAGTTGGTTTACGTTATGGACAATCCATGTCTAGAACAGAAGTCCAATAACAATTCACCCTTTGAGTTTAGATCGGGCAGGCCGTTCTTCCCAATCACCCCCTCCAGGTCCCCCAGTCATTTCCAACATGAGCATTGAAGTCTCCCAGCAAGACTGTGGAGTCTGTAGGCGGGGCCCTTTCCAGAACCCCGCCCACTCACTCCAAGGAGGCCGAATACTCCGACCTGTTGTTTGGTGCATAAGCACACACAACAGTCAGGGTTTTCCTTCTTCTGATTTTAACGCTTTTGTCTACCGGGACAGACTCCAACTGCATGGCAGCCAGACAGGGGCTCGTAAGTATCACACCTGCCTGGTACCTCTCACCCCGTGCAGCTGCTGAGTAGGAGAGGGACTAACCCCTATCAAGGAATTTGGTTCCAAAGCTGACACTGTGGGTGGAGGTGAGCCCAACTATATCTACTTGGTACCTCTCAACCTCCCGCATAAGCTCTGGTTCCTCCCCCCAGTGAGGTCACATTCCGCGTACCAAGAGCCAGTGTCCACCGCAGGGGTCCATGCCACCAAGGATCTCCCTGCCATCTCCCACCACACTGCACCAGTCCCCCATGCTGGACCTTGCGGGTGATGGGCCCACACGGTTCCCCCCATGTTGCCTTTTCGGGCTGAGTCTGGCTGGGTTACATGGGTGGCCTGGCCACCAGGTGATTGCTGAGAAGCACTACCCCCAGGCCTGGCTACAGAGGTAGGTCCTGGTAACGCTCTCCCGGACAGGGTTCACGATTTCTTGTGTCCCTTAGTCATGGAGGATTTTTGGATCGAGTCTTCACTCCAGACTCGTTTGCATTGGGCATATTGCTCCAGAGGACTTAGCTCTGAAGATCCCTAGACCACACAAGCCCTTCCATCATGGCAAGGCCCCGATCCAGGAAGACTTATGTGTTAGCTGGTGCAAAAATATCAGCCATTATTTGATGTGCTGCATGTAGCTAAAAGGATAAAATCATACAATTCCCTTACATTGTTTTACTTATTAGACACAGTGTGAACCTAAAACTGGAGGAGAAAAAAAACCTTTTTCTTCCATAACTGGAAACAGTTATGATTCAAAAAGCACCTGAGCCAGGCCTGTGGCAGATGGGCAGGTCATACGTTAATTCAAAGACACCCCTGGGCTCATTCGCTGGGAAATTTTTAGTAGATAAACTGGCCACCTGCTAAATCGGCCACACCCACCAGCACCAACTGTCTGTAAACTGTCAATAATTAGCATCTCTTTAAGCTAAACCACAGTACAGGTAACTGTTCACCAAACCAAATGTCACAAACCTGTTTAGTTTTTACAGTATGTTGATCTTTCTCTTTTACAGGTTAGCTTTTTGGTCCTGGTGAATCTTGTCAGTGTTGCGCTGGCTTTAACTACCGTTGGGTTGTTACCAGTGTACTTAGTAACCATGAATTACAATTGTGATCTACATAAATACGAAATGCTGCAGGGCTGTCAGTACTACATGCTCTTCATGAAGGTATTATTTTGTGCTGCTGTACAAAAACACATTTTCTTATTATTTGTGTTCATGTAATGTGATTGTGATGTAATTTTCCAACCTCTTCTCATTTAGCCGTGTCCCACATTGAACCTGTTGATTTATAATGTAAATGTAAAGTAAAAAGTAATTATTATATAATTATGTCATTAAAATGTAGCGAAATGACATTAATTGCTTGCTATCTCTGTTGGTTTAATTAGCATTGACTAAAGGATTGGTCTTCTCCACCTAGGTGCTGTTTGGAGGACTGATCGTTTTGATGATCCTGTTGTCTATTCCCATAATTTTTGTCACCATCAGCTCGATTGTTCTGAGTCTGATGGCTCTGTGGAGGAAGAAGAAAGGATACAAAATGGTATGAATATCTTTGAAGTGATGGTCTGGCTGACAGTGCTCTTCACTGCAAAGGTAGTCCATCAGACACAACATGTTTGGTGTCTCAAGTTTGCTTCTTTAGTTTTGCATCGGAGCTACAAGGCTAATGTTTAAAAAAAGGACATGCGCTAATATGGGAATATCATACTGTAACGCTGCACAAACACAAGAAAACGCTTGCGGATCTTAAAAATGGAAATCTGTTTAATGAGAGAGTATCAGTATGTAAGTCCAACTAAAACACAATCTCAGGGCAAATCCAATATTGTAGTTCAAAAACCGGAATAACCAAAACACACAGGCAAACAGAGCAAAATCCAGAAAGCAGGCCAAAGGTTCAAGGCACAAGTCAAACAATCAGAGAAATACCACTCAGTAGACCAAGAAATTGGCAATACCTCGCAAAGAGGAGAGCAAACCAAGGCCTGTTTAAGTTCTCAGACAAACACAAGCACAGGTGAATTGAATTTGAAATCAGGTGACTGAGAACAAGGCAGTTGCACGTGATTGGAGGAATTGGTGATGTCATCGGGACTGGGATTATGGGAAATGGAGTCCTGGAGCGTGCTAAGCAAGGGAGAAGAACCCGGAAGCGTGACACATAGATGCTGTGCAGACTTTTGTTCTCAGTGGCGGCAACAGAGTCAAGATCCACTTTGTAAACAAATACAAAGAATTGAACCAACCTTTATTTCTTTACTACACAACCGATTTTCACAAAATTATTTCATTTTTTAGACAGCTAATTTACATGGCACCATATTCATATGAAGTGCCAATTATAGCCAAATGGTTTCCAACATCTGGCTATAAATGATTGGTCAGAATTGAAATAAGGACGAGAACAGACATAAGAAGTTAAGTAATATTTTCTATGATATGATACTTGTGGCTGGTGATAGGATCCCTCTGGAGCAAAGACAATACAGCAGATCAGATTCATAACAATCAGCATTACGATCCAGATCTGAAAAGTTCTTAACATGTTCCTAATTATTAATATTGAACTAGCTGTTATTAATGCACTAAATTAATAACAAAAGCATAAAGTTTAAGGACTATCCAATGGTAGGGCTCAATCTGAGTTCGCCCGAGTGCTTTTATTTCTTTTTCATAAATGAGAGTTTGGTAGCTGTCTGGAGCAGCAGGACATTTTTTCTGACCTGCCGTTAAAGACAGACGATCTTGAGATTTTAACTGACGATTATTTGTCACACAAATAATTGCAATTAACAATTTAATAGTTTTTTTAATGTTCAGTGTTTGCAACTATTAAAATACAAGTCTAAAGTAGCCACATTGGCTGATTAGCCACCTTACTTGCTCGTTATGTTTGTTTAGTAGCACACAGTGGTTGTATTGTTGACACAATACTGCGCTCACACTCACACAAATGTCTACATTTTCATAGAATTATGTGTAAACTGCAGCACAGCTACATGTTCTTCATAAGAGTGAAAATACATAGCACACAGCATACATACTAATAATTAGCTTAATTAGTTAGCTGCATAACTAACAAATAAACACTGCCCAGCGCTGCCCTCTAAACAAACTTTTTTTGTTTTCATAATTCCCATGATGAATGCATTGACTGCTTTCTTTTATTTACATTTATTTGCCTCAACCAAACACTCCCAATTTATGTTTAATTTGTTGCAGGTGACATAATATGACTGAAATCTAATGACTGTGGGAAATGTGCAGTCAGCCTAATTGCAATCATCTCAAATTACAGCGATCATCTCAGATAATTATTAGGCAATTATGTAATACTTGTGACAGAACTTCCGACACCATGAAGTTCAGTGCAAGCTGTGCAAGATGTGACAAGAGCGCAACATGAATCAATTCTAAGCTTTATTCACCCCATGGAAAAGGAATATATGGGCACAGGCATTTCTAATGTGTGCGATACATTTCCAATACATTGTTTCATTCCAGAATGTATTTCAAACACACAAAAGCAAAAAATGCAAAATAAAAAATTTGTCCAATCTCATGTATTCAAAAATGTATCTTATGAAAACACTTTACACATATTTCTTTTCCAATTAAACATTTGGGGCATTTAAACACAGTAAGAAAGTTATAATGTAATTAGAATTGGAAAAGTATATTGCATATCTAAAAACAGTAACAGGTGCAATGGGGGTGCGGTGCACACTTTTAACACTGTTTTAATTAAAACTCGCCAGCCAAAGTTAACTGTTTTTGTTTGTTTACTAAAAATTTCTGTTCGATTTCCCTCACATTTTCAGTGTGAGGTTGAGCTACTTAACCACATAGACATTTTATGACCTTTTTTTTTTTTACCCATCTTTCCCAAATGAGCCACTGACTGTGGGGCTGGCTGTATATCAACCATCACTTTAATTAAGCTCATTAACCAAAGTACTATTATTGTTTGTATAGAGTGGAAGTTGCTGATCTTTTCTTAACAGCCTGATTTGTTTTTGGTTTAGATTTTAGAGGAATATCCTGAACTTTACAAGCTCCCTGTGGAGGAAGTTCTTTCCAGCCCTGCCTGGTAGAGAAACACTCTCAATCCTCATCATTCATGTAATTCCAGATGTTCTACCTGGCACTTTTCTTTCTTGTGAATTGAAATGTTACCGTATTGTTATTAGAGACTGCTGTACGTTTCATTGAGAGACATCTCATTATTACTTTTGTTAACTGTTACAGTAGAATCACTCCTTTTCAATCCTTTAAATGCGCTACATATCTGTCTGGAACAACTGTTTCATAGACTTAAAATATAAAACATAACTTTTCATGTTTTTTTTTCCAATATGTTAAATTCAGCAGATAAACAGTAAGTGTGCATTAAGATGTGCAGAACTGTGTTCTCTGTAGAAGATGTGTTAACTTGTTTTCATTTAGACAATCAGCTAAATATGTCATTTGAACATTGGTGCCCAAACTTTTATATACAACTGTAGCTCATGGTCTGTGCTACATCACATGTTCTGGCTGATTTGCTCCTTGTGCCGTCAGAATAAGCAGGACATCAGTGCTGTTCCATACAGTTGGTACGTTTCCTTTGGAAATAGACAGGTTACACAGATGTGCAATGACTGGAGCCAAATCCTCTGCACATTCCCTCATGAGCCCTGAAGGAATGCCATCAGGCCCTGGATCCTTCTTCATCGTTGTTCACCTCCCCAGTAGAACAAAGATCGTTCTGCCATGACGACTGTGGGAGAGGAAAATAATTAACCCTCTACTGCACACATTATGAAAGCAATTTAACAAAAGTATTCAATTCATTTTTCTTGCGTAAATTGGAGTATGTTGCTTTGAGGCAACACTGTGACAATAAGAAGAAACGATACAGAGTTGTGTTCCCTTTCCAGGGGTGAGACCTGGCTTGTGACTGGCTGAATCCATTCCGCTGTCGCACAGTGTTGCTTCTAGGCAACAAACATATTCCTGCAAATTCTCATAACAAAAAAATTTATACTGAATGTTAAAAAAAACAGGTTTAAATGTGCCCAGTAAGAGAAAGTATGACTAAGCACATGCTTTTTATTGACTTACTCAAACTCTTCCCTTTATTGTTAACCATTTCGTTGTCTTTAAATATGTATAACGTTATTGTAAATTGAGGAAAATGGGTTTGTTGCCCTGAGGCAACATCATGCAATAGAGCTCTCGCACCAGGCTGCACCAAATATCACTGGCCTTACATGACCAGATTCCTTCTGTTTTCTCCCTAATTCCCACCACTTTCTTGGGTGCTCCTTCTACAGCTGTTGGATATTGTTTTTTGGCTAAGTACATACATGTGCCTAACATGGAATTGACTGTAGTGTTGAAAGCCTCTACTTTGCATTGAAGTCACTCTGCTGTAAACTTGTGGGACCAATCTGTAAGGGTCATCCTAAGGCTGAGACCTGCTTTAGATGTAGCACTGACCTTCCTTAGATACAGATTCACCCCTTGTAGGCTGTAGGCCCCACCTTTTCAGTGATACACTACTGGACAAGTACTTGTAGAGTGTCATATTATTGACCCATACATCTTTTTTTGTCTCCAAACCAAGCTAAAAAAGAAAACTCCTCAGAAACGAAAGTGCAGCTGGATGAAGTAACCTGCACACCGGAGTGGTTTGATGATGGTTATTAAAAGATTTCTTTTCAAGACGTTCCTGTAGCTAAAAAAGATAAAAATAAGCTTATATAATGTACTTTTAAATCAAAGCGCTTCACCAAATAACCTGAACAGTTTTGAGCTCAGCAAACAGGAACGAAGCTGAACTTAAGAGATAAACAGCCAGAAGTATTGTAGTACTGCAGCGCCGCCTTGTGGCTGTTAGCTGTACTAACTGAAGCTGCGTGTTTTGTGCTGCTGAGGGTTAAACAAAAAATTCAGGTCAGTCACTGTCAGGAAGGAACTGATCAGTTTTGTGGGAAACCAGTTTTGTAGAAAAGCGTCAACAGCAAGACTAAAACAAAACCTTTGGTCACAGAATAAGGTGAGTCGCCACCAAATCTAACTTATAATTATTTCTAAACTACATTAATGTGATGCTACTAATGTGAATTAGAGGCCATGTGGCATTTCAGGTAACAACAGCTAATGGAGTCGATGGATGTAAGCTAGGCTAAGGAAGTGAAATCTGGATCCTTTTTTTAGACCCATAACAACAAAACCTTAGTTTTTCAGTATAAGATATTTTATGTGCTGTCATAAGAATTATAAGAGGAGAAAGTACTAAATGCTGTACTTTTTAATCAATAATTCTGTTTTTCTCAGGTGATATCAGGTACAAACTTATGTTTCACAGACTTTTATTGTTTTATCTGTGCTAAAGGTGCAAATAGGACACTGCATATATCTCTTACACTGTAATGTTGCTTGGTGAAAGTAAATAATACTTTAAACAACACTGGTTTATATTTTACCAAAATAGTGTTGTGTTCAAGAAACTTAATATCTGCTTTCATATTCTCAGCACAGCATGTTGTCACAAGTCATATTTCTGAGGTTTAAAGCCAGATATCTCTGCATTTCATTCACTTTACTGGACATTGTAACTGTCTACAGATAAATGTTATATTTCTCTGTAATGTGAGTTGGATTCCATCACAAATTCCACATTTTATGAATGCTAAGTTCTAGAAAAACCTGTCATCTAAACGACTATTTTACCATCATCAGCATTTTAAACTTATTTAAACTCAGAAGACACATGTTTGTTCCCTGAACGTCTTGCAATACATTTTTTGTAAATAAAATGGCTATATTTATATTCACTACCACTGTAAAGAAGTAGGAAAGTTTCTGTAAAATGCACCATTTCACATTAAACCAATTAATTTAGTGTAAAATACAAAATAAGTGGATTTTCCAAAAATGAACGCCACTATTTTTACCGTGTACATTGCCGTTTGTGTGTTTGTTGCTCTAAAGTGGTGGTGATAGGAACCAGACGTCTGAAGAGTTTGATGCCTGAGATGTATGATAGTTTTGTATGGTAGTTTTGAGAAACTTTTGGCCTATAATGTCCATTCATGGTGGAGAGGTACATGCAGGGCGTTGTGAGGCAAAATAGTCCCTGAAGAAAACTTATTTTCAGATTTATGACTATTTTACCATCATCAACATTTCATATTCAAACTGTGAAGACGCATGTAGGTTCACTGCACATTCTGGATGGTAAATTAAATGTACATATTTGCATTGTACCCATTGCGACCCCTGGTTCCTGTCACTACCACTTAAAGAAATCTGAGTATGAAAGTTTCACCATTTCACATCAAACCAGTATTAATTACTTTATCATAACATAGTGATTTAGCATAAATTATTAAATTATTATTAAAATAAGTGGAATTTTCTTTTTGTGTTTAACAGGCCAAAAAATGAACACCACTATTTTGATTGTACAGTATTGTTTGTGTGTTTGTTGCTCTTCAGGATGTCACTGACTATGACTAAAGCCGAGGGGGTGACCGTGTTTACCGTCACCTCCAACCCCAAAAGCAAGTGGCCGCTGATTTGCCAGCTTCTGAGCACGATGTGCTGCAGTCCGATCTGCTTTGTGTCACAGAGCATGAAGCAGCAGTTGGGCAGAACTCACACAGCTCTGGGGGTAGGACTCCACACTCACACTGTACATGCATATCATGTTGGTTTGCCTCTTTGATATTATGTATGTATGAATATTACAGGTCAAGCAAACGACATGTATACGTTTCAGTGTACGTTAATGCACATTGATTTTATTTATTAAGTGATTTTGGTCCATTTCTGTTGCTCCGTTTGTCATGAAAACTGGACACAGTAAATGACAGCTGGTCCTTTTCATTATGTTAAATAATAAAACACAAATGAAAACGGAGATACAAGATTTTGTTCTGAGAGTGACTACAGTTTGGGTAGTTTTTTGATTTGTGACACCATCACCAAGAGAAATAAAGGATTCAGATTCTGATTACCAGATAACAATCAATGCTATGATTGCTGGGGTTTGTGGTTGTTTGTGGTTTACCAGTCAAAGTTTAAATTTACTTATAATAGTAATTACACAATGATATAACTGTTTCTTTCTCTAGAATCTAGACTATGTAATAATTTACTCTTCTTCCTGTAGACTCTACAGATTCTGGTTGGACTAATGAATGTGGGCTTCGGGTGTATCTTCAGGAACATGGGGTCATACTTTTCTGTACTTTGGGACGGCTGTTTTTGGTTGGGGGCAGTGGTAAGAACTTTCATGATTTCATTAACCCTTTAAACTGCAGGCTTATTGCTCAGTAATTTTAACCTTTTGTGTCCATATATAAAGTTTTACATACTAAGGCATATTATTCAGTAACTACACAGACTAATTGTAAACTAGCTGAGTTATTCTTAAGATGTGTAGTAAAACTTAGGGACTGCCGACTGGCCCTGGCTGTTTAAGGGGTTAAATATCCATTAGTCCATATGTTCTCTGAGCCTGAGCACAAATCTGAAGAAACTGATCAAACCATGTGGCTAAAAAAGAGTTTTTATCATAATATAAAAATATCATAATAAATTTAGTCTTTTAGATTACGTTTTTAAGCCATAAGTTAAAAATCAAAGTCAGAAAGGTTATGAATCATCCAATGTATAACTATACAAAATTCACTTTAGACCAAATATGTGGCATTTTTACTCTGTAAATTAGGTAATTGTGAAATTGTGGGCTTAAAATGAAGTGGGTAATGTGCCTGAGTTTATATGTTGTGTCAGCTTTAGGACAAATAGGAAGACATTTTTCAGCATAAACCAGCTTAAACGTTAGTTTTTATGACCTTCATAAGTTCATAGGAATAACTTCATTCATTAACATATTCAGTAATATATATATTACTGAATATATAATATATATATATATATTATATATATATATATATATTATATATATATATATTTAAACAGGCCGCATTACTATGTTGTTCCAACAAGTTTGGTGAATAAACATTGTTTTTTCCTTTACAATTTACAAGTTTATTGCTGCTGGCATCGTTTGCATCCTTGCTGAGAAGTTTCCCAGCAGTTGCCTGGTGAGTTGTGATCTCCATTAGTAGGATGACTTTGCAAAGGTGTGGAATCGGGTACGAATTTAATGACTTAAGACTCGACCCGACAAAACTGAGAAAATTTTTGACTCGACTTGAACTCCAATGACTTTGACTTAGACTGAGAAACTTAGAAACCAAAGGTGGAAGAAACACAGAGAGGCGTTGACGTCAGATGGGACTCTACACAGTTACTTTTAATGTGAATTTGTTTCCTGTTGGACATGCCAGAACTGCAACTTTGCCATACATTAACGTCACCAAATATCTGTTACTATATGCTGTTATTTCGAAAGACGAGAGACAAACGTGAGAAGACAAGTTCACCTCCTTAAGCTAGAAACAAACGAAGTAACAACAGCATCGACAGAGTCAATAAGCCCTCACTCAGCACTTAGACTCCAGTTTTACTGGAGAAACTGCCAGACTAACTTGCCATTTTCCTCATGATAGTTAAACAAAAGAAACTGAGCTTGAGGCTTGAGCTGATTGATGATAGTATCTTCAGTCGCTGATAGTTTCCATCTATCCTGATGGTCAATCATTATTGAAATGTCTGAAAACACTGTCTGTGGCTTTAAGATGCACAAAAGTAATCACAGACGATAATGTTTCAATCCTAAACTGAGCTTTTAACCGAGCATTTAAATGATTTTAATGACTTCTGCCGTTATAACATTCACCACATGGATGAAGTTGGCTTCTAATTTGCGAGCTTCATATTGTAATTTTCCATTCCACCTTAAATGTACAGAATACATTCTTGTGCAATCCAAAAATCATCAGAAATTATTGAACTATACGTTTTTCAAGATATAAAGCACTACGCTTTGCAACTTGTAACATACTACCAAATACTACTAAGATGCTGTCATTGAATGAGCTGTATTACTGTTTCCATCATTTTTGGTGTTTAAATGGCATCACATCGCTGAAGAATGCATACTGACCTGTGTAGATCTCGACTTGAGACTTGCCTCTACTGACTCGGGACTTGAACTGAGACTTAACTGTGTTGTCTCAGGATTCGAGTATCAAGACTTCAGACTTACTTGTTACATTCAACTTAGTGATTTGTTCCCACCTTGGAAACTTCATAATACTAGACTGGAAAAAATGTTAAAGGCTTTATTATTAAAATCAAAGGTTTTAAAGGAGTCCTAATGTGTTCCTGTGTTCTGTAGCACTCATCATTTGTCAGATAAGGTATAGCTTTTAGGATATGTGTGGTAATAATATGACATGTAATATATATACAAACAAAAATCCTACTATATTAAAAAAAGCAATAAAAGCATTTGTAAATATTTCAAGGTCAGTTGAACCTTAAAATTGTGTTCCATGTGGTAACGAGCAGCTTACCTGTTTTTAGTCAGAGTTTCTAGTTCTTTAAATAAATTGATGTTCAGATGAACAAAAGCAAAGTTTTTCATCAAACCAAACGCTGATCTTTCTCTTTTACAGCTTAGCTTTACGGTCCTGGTGAATCTGGTCAGTGCTGCACTGGCTTTTACTGCCACTGTATTCTACTCAATAGACTTAGCGTGGTTGCCTCAACGTTACGACTGTAATCAACGCGATTATGGATATGGATATGGTTATTACGAGGCTACACCGTCTCCTCAGAAGAAAGCCCAGATGGAGAACTGTGAGCGCAACCAGCACATATTCAAGGTATTTCAATTTTGTAATTGCAATACATAAACATGTCTTGTGAATCTTTCACAGCGTTTACAAGTCATGTAATTGTTTTATGTACTTTGGTAATTTTTAAATGTATTTTTTTTCTAATGCAAGCTACTGAGAAAATTCTCTCACATAGCAGTCTCTAATACTGAACCTGTCAGTGCAGAATGTAAATCAAGTGTAAATAATTGTATGAAGTAACATAAAATGTATTTATGTTACTAAAACACTTTATTTTTGTAGCAAGATGACATTTGTTACTCATGATTTCTAGATGGTGTACGGAGGACTGGACATCCTGATGATCGTGTTGTCTCTCCTTCAAATTTGTGTCACCATCAGCTCATGTGTTCTGATTCTGAAGACTCTGTGCAAGAAGAAGACCGAAGACGAAATGGTATAAAAGGCTTATACTGTGATGGTCTGGCTAAAAAATCCACTTAGCCCAAATGCTCATTTAGTTTTGCACTTGCTTCATTTTGCTAAAATGAAGTGCATAATGTGCCTGAGTTTATACACTATATGGCCAAAGGTATTGGGACACCTACACATTACACCTACAGGAGCTTGTATGAGCTCCCTTTCTAAATCCATAGGCATTAATATGAGGTTGGTCCCCCTTTGCAGCTGTAACAGCTTCCACTCTTCTGGGAAGCTTTCTGCAAGATTTTGCAGAGTGTCTGTGGGAATTTTTGCCCATTCATCCAGAAGAGCATTTGTGAGGTCAGACACTGATGTCGGACGAGAGCGTCTGGCTCGCAGTCTCTGTTCTAGTTCTTCCCAAAGGTGTTCGATGGGGTTGAGGGCAGAAAATTCCACTTTGCCCAAATTCTTATTTAGTTTTGCAGTTGACCTATGAGGCTAATGTAGCTAGAAGTAGAAGAACAAGAAGTAGAAACTCTGCCAGTTTAGTATCATGCAGACTGCATCCCTAATTCAACAGAAACCTATACTGAGTTGTTAAGTCGTATCAAATAGACTGATTATTTAATTAATTTGATGAATTCTTGGTACTCTTAAAAACATATCTTTATGGTTAATTAGCTCAATCTCACACTGAAACAAACACCCTTATGGAAAAAATATTTTTAAACAAAACCACACGTCACAATTTCACAGTACCCATTTAGCACTTTGTGCAACCTCTGCTGGCCAGTATAACAGCAGTGAATCTTCTGTTATAATGTTTGATGAGATCAGAGAATACAGGACAGAGAAGACCACTCCTCAATAGAATTTCTCGATATCCTCAAGGGTCCTAGGGCCTCTCTTTTGGACCCTTGTCTTCAGCTCACCATGCAGGTTTTCAGTATGTTTTAGATCAGTGCACTGGGACACCCATGAAGCTTGATTCTGTGGTCTGTGGATTTGGAGGGATGTTTTGACCCAGTTTTAGCTTTCTGGCAGAGGCAGCCAGGTTTTCATGTTAAAACCTCTGGTTCCATAGTGCCACGTGTCCTAACAACCATCTTTCTTTTTATGCCAAACTCACCTTGAGTGTTTGTTGCCAAAAAGCTCTTTCATCTAACTGTAGAACCTGGTTCCAGTCAAAGCTCCAGTAGTGTCTAACAAACTCCAGGTGTTTACGTTTGTGGTTGAATTTTTTATGGCACACCTTCCAAATATTTGGTTGGCACTGAAGTTTTGTATAATTGTATTTTTTGGAGACTTGGTGACCCCAAAATGCTACCATCTTCAGCAAATCACCAACTGTGATCCTTGGAGAAACATTTTGCCTCATTTTGTCTCTCTATCCTCCTTACTCTTTTTTGCGTGGGGGCAAAATGAACATGCGTCCTATTCCAGGCAGGTGCACTACAGCTCCAGTTGTTTTAAACTTCTTAATTATTGCCCTAACATTGAATAGGGGCATTTTTAAGCATTTTATAGCCATTGCCTGATTTATGAAGGGTCAACATGTCATTTGTATATGTTCTAATCTTCTCCGTGTTGATGAAACAAAGTCATGGATGACCACTTAAAAATCCCTGAACACTCAGGTGGATTTGAAACAGGTGCAATATGGTGGAAAAATTTACTTCAATTAAAAGGTAAGATTTCTCTCACATTTTCAGTGTGAGATTAACCAGCGGACATTTTTATAACCTTTTTTGTAACCATGTTTCCCAAGTGTGCCAAAGACTTTGGAACTGGCTGTATATTTTGGCCAAACAATCACTTTAAACACTTGAAACACTGATATTATGAGAGTGGAAGTTGCTGATCTGTTCTTGAGAAGGCTTGTTTTAACTTGTTTTGTTTTTGGTTTGGTTTTTACAGGAAGATCCTGAACTTCACAAGCCCCTCATAGAGGAAGTTCTTTCCAGCCCTGCCTGGTAGAGAAACACTCTCAATCCTTATCATTCATGTCATTCCAGATTTCTATCTAGCACTTTCCTTTCTTGCGAATTGAAATGTTAATCTATTATTATTAGAGACTGCTGTACTTTCTGTCAAGAAGCATCTCGTTTTTACTGTTTTTATTATTATTATTGTTACTTTTACCGTAGACTCACACCTTTTAAACCTTTACCTGTGCTACATATTTGTTTGGAACAACTATTTCATAGACTTAAAATGTAAAACATCACATAAAACTTGTGACATAACTTTTGTACAGGTCATATTTCATGTTTTCTTTTTCCAATATGTTAAATTCAACAAATAAACAGTAAGTGTGCATTAAAATGTGCAGAAGTGTGTTCTCTGTAGAAGATGTGTTAACTTGTTTTCATTTAGCCAATCAACAGAACGTCATTTGACCAGAGGTGCCCAAACCTTTGCATACCACTGTAGCTCATGGTCTGTGCAACCTCACATGGATCCTTAACAACATCACTGAAGCACCACTTTACCACCTCTCTGATCCAGTGCAGTGAACCAAGACTGATAAGACTGATTTCTTCTGATAGGCGTATTTATCTTTTACCTCTGAAAGAATAAGATTGCAGTGTCTTTTGCGCACACATGTCAAGTAATTGACCAGCTATACTGGTTAAGGAAACTGGTCTGTACTGTTCTGGCTGGTTTGCTCCTCGTTCCTCCAGAATAGGCGTCTTTCAGTATCTTTCCTTTTGACAAACACTGAGATGAGTAAAGACCAAAGCTAAATCCTCTGCATGTTCAGACGAGGCTCCACCTTTTGTTGTCAGTGATACTCTACCATGATGACTAACCCCAGTTGGGTCAAGTACCTGTGGAGTGTCGACCCATATTTAAAATCAAGAATAGCATCTCCTCTGCTGGGCATTAAGCTTTTTCCTGTCAGACGTGGGAACATGTGGTGTTAAGCATAGTCTGTCTTTTCAGTTGTCAGTCTTAGGACTTTTGTCAAATCACTTCTATCACTGAATCACTGAAATAAACTCTCCAAACCAAGCCAACAAAAAACACTCCTCAGAAACAGAAGTGCAGCTGGACGACATAAACCACACGCCACTGTGGTTTGATGGTGATTATTAAATCTATTATATTTCTTTTTAAGACTTTAGTAAAACCTGTAGCTTAAAAAATAAGCCCGCATAATTCACTAACTTAGTCTTAATTCGAGGCGTTTCACCAAAAAACCTGAACAGCTTTGAGCTCAGCTAACAGGAACGAAGCTGAACGTTAGAGATAAACAGCCGGGAGTATTTTTAATACTGCAGCGCCGCCTTGTGGCTGTTAGCTGTTCTAACAGAAGCTGCGTGTTTTGTGCTGCTGAGGGTTAAACAAGAACCGAAACTGAGTCACTGTCAGGAACGAACTCAGGTAAAGAGCTGCAGAACCAGTTGTGTGGGGAAGCACCAACCGGACAAGGTGAACGGTCACTAAATCTTCTACAGTACGTTCATGTGATGCTACTAGTGTGAAAATTTTGGGATTATAGTACAGAGAATATGAGGCCATTTTAGGTGGGAAAAATCAGTGCGGTCGATGGATGTAAGCTAGGCTAAGGAAGTGGAATCTGGATCCTTTTTTAGGCCCATAACAACAAAACCAGTTTTTCAGTATAAGATATTTATGTGCTGTCATAAGAATTATAAGACAAGACTCAAGGTGCACTGAATGTCGTACTAAATGCCCTATTTTTAAATAAATAATTCTTTTTTTCTCAGAATATGTTCAGAGTGATATCACGTACAGTCATATTTCACAGATTTTTATTGTTTTATCTGTGCTAAAGGTGCAAATAGGACACTGCATATATCTCTTACACTGTAATGTTGCTTGGTGAAAGTAAATAATACTTTAAACAATACAGGTTTTACCAAAATAGTATTGTGTTCAAGGAACTTAATATCTGCTCTCATATTCTCAGCACAGCATGTTGTCACAAGTCATATTTCTGAGGTTTAAAGCCAGATATCTCTGCATTTCATTCACTTTACTGGACATTGTAACTGTCTACAGATAAATGTTATATTTCTCTGTAATGTGAGTTGGATTCAGTCACAAATTCCACATTTTATAAATGCTAAGTTCTAGAGAAACTTACAGAGTCTGAATTGTTCACAGTGGTGGTGATAGGAACCAGACGTCTGAAGAGTTTAATGTGTCTAAAAGCTCCATCACTGCCCGATGTCTGAGACATTGTATAATAGTTTTTGGCCTATAATGTATTTTAAGTATATTCATGGTGGAGAGGTCCATGCGGGGTGTTGTGAGGCAAAATAGTCCCCAAAGAAAACTTTATGACTATTTTACCGCCATCAGCATTACATATTCAAACTCAGAAGACACATGTAGGTTCACTGCACATCTTGGATGGTAAATCAAATGTATATATTTGCATTGTACACTTTGCAACTCCTGGTTCCTATCAAATGGACCATTTTACCTCAAACCACTGTGAATTACTGTATTGTAACAGAGTGATTTAGCATAAATAAGTAAAAAAATAAATAAATAAGTGGAATTTCCCTTTTGTAATCTTCAGGATGTCACTGACTATGAGTAAAGCAGAGGGGGTGACCGTGTTCACCGTCACCTCCAACCCCAAAAGCAAGTGGCCGCTGATTTGCCAGCTTCTGGGCATGATGTGCTGCAGTCCGATCTGCTTTGTGTCTCAGAGCATGAAGCAGAATATGGGCAGGACTCACACAGCTCTGGGGGTAGGACTCCACACTCACACTGTACATACATATCGTGTTGGTTTGCTTCTTTGACTGAGATAACAGGAACACAACAACAGCTACTTGAGTGCAAATAGCATCCCCTGTAGAGAATCTTCAGCCTGCTGAAGGAGTTAGTGAGTTACAAGCCAGGCCCATGAAGTGCCTTGCATAAGAGGAAATGTATAAATGTATGAATAACATGCATATAAATATGTATGTGTGTATGTATACACTTGTCAGAACAATACCTTGTATCTCCAAACGAGTAGCTTTACAGGAAAAGCAAATAACATTTATACATTTCAGTGTAAGTTGACTGATTTTGTAAGTTAAGTGATTTTGGATGATTTCTGTTGGTCCGTTAATCCAGAAATTTTGACACAGAGTGAATGACAGCTGGTCCTTTTAAAGTATGTTAAAAAAAGATTCTGATTACCAGATGAGAAGCAATGCTATGATTGCTGGGGTTTGTGGTTGTTTGTGGTTTACCAGTTTACTTATAGTAATAATTAAATAATGATATAACAGTTTCTTTCTCTAGAATCTAGACTATGTTCTAATTTACTCTTCTCTTCCCGTAGACTCTACAGATTCTGGTTGGATTAATGAATGTGGCCTTCGGATGTATCTTTAGGAACGTGGGCTACTACTACTCTCTACTTTGGGACGGCTGTTTTTGGTTGGGGGCAGTGGTAAGAACTTTCATGATTTCATTAACCCTTTAAACTGCAGGCTTATTACTCAGTAATTTGAAACATTTATGTCCATGTATGAGGTTTTAACCCCTTAAAATCCCAGCATTATTACATACTAAGGCTTTTTATTGCAAATTAAATGCAAACTAGCTGAGTGCTGAGTTATTCTTTGGTTATAGAAGTGTGTAGTAACTGCTGGCAGGCCCTGGCTGTTTAAGGGGTTAAATATCCACTGGTCCATATGTTCTCTGAGTCTGAGCACAAATCTAAGAAATTTTTCAAGTTGATCAAACCATGTGGCTACAAAAATTTTTTATCATAATAAATTTAGTCTTAAACTCTAAAACTGCTTATTTTTAAGTAATGAATTAAATTGAAATGATTCCTGTTGGATGTTCATCCAATGTATAACTATAAAAAATTCATTTCAGAACAAGTTCTGTGGCATTTTTACTATTTTTATATGTTGTGTCAGCTTGACTGAGGACAAATCTTAATTTTTTTTTTTTATTGATATCAGATTTATGTTTTGGGCCTTTTAGATTGATTTTTTACAAAAGACAGAAATTCAAATGTGAAGTATGAAAAGTAATAAAAATGGAGACTGGTAGTTTATCCAAAGTATATCAATACAGATGTTATCACATTAGACCAATTAGAAGAAGCTCTGTAGCATTTTTCCTCATCATACTAAAATTAGTTGCTGGGCAAGAATAGGTTAGGACATATTCAATGACATACTCTGTAATTTATAACCATATATAAACAGGATCCAGAAACGCTGCCACCTTCTCTGGGCCTGAACTCATTTAAAAGGGACTGAGGGGAAGTGGAAAAGTGTCCTGTGGTCTGATGAATCAACATTTGTATGTCTTTTTGGAAATCATGGACACTGTGTCCTCCGGGCTAAAGACCACTCAGCTTGTTATCAGTGCACATTTGAAAAGCCAGTATTCATGATGGTATAGGGGTGCATTAGTACACATGGCATGGTTGACGTGAACATCTGTGAAGGCACCATTAATGCTGAACGATAGATACATGTTTTGGCAACACATGCTGCCATCCAGAGAACGTCTTTTTCAGGGATGGCCTTGTTTATTTCATTAAGACAATGTAAAAGCACAGCAGCATTGCTCCATATTAAAAGAGTCTGGGTGCTAAACTGACCTGCCTGCAGTCCAGAACTGTCACCACTGAAAACATGTGGCGCATTATGAAATGAAAAATATGACAAAGGAGACCCCCGAACTGTTAAGCAGCTGAAATCTTATATCAAACAAGAACAGGAAAACATTTCACTTTCAGAACTACAGCAGTTTTACAGAGTGTTGTTAAAAGGAGAGTTTCACATGTTTACATGTTTTTTGTTTTTCATTTATTTCCAAGTTTATTGCAGCTGGCATCGTTTGCATCCTTGCTGAGAAGTTTCCCAGCAGTTGCCTGGTGAGTTGTGATTTCGACATGGACTCGAATCATGACTGGGACTCGAGTCACGAATTTGATGACTTAAGACTCGACTCAGCAAATTCAAGAAGGACCTGCAACTCGAATTTGACTTGAACACCAATGACTTGGACTTTGACTTGGACTTGAGCCTTATAACTCAGAAGGACTCAAGACTGAAAGTGGAAGAGACGTGAAGAGGCGTCTGACTGCAGACGAAACTCTACACAGTTACTTTTCATGTGAATGGATTTACCAGAACTGCGTCACAAGAAACTTTGCTATACAGTAATGTCATTAAATGTCTCTTATTATGTGCTGTTATTTCAAAAGACAAGTGTGAGAAAACAGGTTCGCCACCTTAAGCTAGAAACAAACGAAGTAACAACAGCATTGACAGAGTCGATAAGCCCTCACTCAGCACTTAAACTCCAGTCTTACTGAAGAAACTGCCAGACTAACTTATCCTTTTCCTCATGACAGTCAAACAAAAGAAACTGAGCCAGGCTTGAGCTGATTGATGATAGTATATTCAGTCACTGATAGTTTACATCTATCCTGATGGTCAATCAAGTTAGACAGTTTGAATACCTGAAAACACTCTGTCTGCGGCTTTAAGATGCACAAAAGGAGTTTCCTTATAATGTTAGTTGATCTCCTGAATCAACCCTCATATATCTTCTGGCTTTAGAACGTTCTGTAGCAGCACCAGGTAGATTTTTTCCCCACCTGCTGTCATGCTTGTTAACCCCCCTCAAAATATAGTGTTGTCACTAGGGGCGAGCAGGCGATAGTATTTTAATCCTAATCCGAGTTTAAATGATTTTAATGACTTCTGCAGTTAAAACATTCACCACATGGATGAAGTTGGCTTCTTATTCGCGAACTTCATATTGTAATTTTCCATTCCACCTTAAATGGTGCCACAGATACATTCTCATGCAGTCCAAAAATCATCAGAAATTATTGAACTATAAGCTGTTCAAGATATAAAGCACTACGCTTTGCAATTTATACATTTAACATACTACCAAATACTGTCCAGATGGTGTCATTGAATGGGCTGTTTTACTGTTTCCATCATTTTTGGTGTTTAAATGGTATTAGATCGCTGTTGAATGCATACTGACCATTTTATGACTCATCGTTTAGGACTTGGACTCAACTTAAGACCCGTCTGTACTGACTAAGGACTTGAAATGAGCCTTGACTGTCTTGACTCGGGACTCGAGCGCCAAGACTTGAGACTTACTTGTTACCTTCAACTTAGTGATTTGTTCCCACCTTTGAAACTTCATAATACTAGACTGGAAAAAATGTTAAAGTCTTTATTATTAAAATCAAAGGTTTTAAATGAGTCCTAATGTGTGCCTGTGTTCTGTAGCACTCATCATTTGTGTGTGGTAATAATATCATGTGCAGTATGTACAAACAATAAACCTACTGTATAAAAAACAACAATAAAAGTATTTGTAAAGGCCAGTTTAACCTTAAAACTGTGTTCCCGGCCTCCCGAGTGTCATAACCATCTAAGTGTTGGCCCTATCATCAGGAGCCCTGGTGATACAGCCATCCATGGCAGGGAGTCCAAGAGAGCACAATTGGCCTCGCTCTCTCTGGATGGGTGGGATGACGTAAGCTGACATAACAGATCTGGCGGTTGGCGTTTTCCTCTCGGAGGAAGCCTGTGTTAGCCTTCGCCCTCCTAGCGCTGGTGGTGTCGTGTGATTGGGGGAGTCCTAACTAGTGGGTGGAATTGGAGACCACTAAACTGGGGAGAAAATTTGGGAAAAAAATTGTGTTCAACATATCAACATATTCCCTGTTTTTTAAGTTTTTTAATTCTTTAAATCAGTTGTTGAAAAATATCAGTTCAGATGAACAAAAGCAAAGTTTTTCATCAAACCAAACACTGATCTTTCTCTTTTACAGCTTAGCTTTACGGTCCTGGTGAATCTGGTCAGTGCTGCACTGGCTATTACTGCCACTGTATTCTACTCAATAGACTTAGCGTGGGTGTCTCGACGTTCCAACTGTAGTCAACGCGGTTACTATGACTATGGAACTACACCGTCTCCTCAGAAGAAAGACCTGATAAAGAACTGTGAGCGCAACCAGCACATCTTCAAGGTATTTCAATTTTGTAATTGCAATACATAAACATGTCGTACGTTTACATGTGATGTAATTGTTTTATGTACTGTCATTTTCAAATGTCTTTTTTTTCTAATGCAGTCTACTGAGAAAATTCTCTCAAATAGCAATCTCTAATACTGAACCTGTCAGTGCAGAATGTAAATCAAGTGTAAATAATTATGGAAACATGTTAGTACGACACATTTTTGGCAAAGAGACATTTATTACTCAGGATTCTTTAAGGTTAAAATTGCATTGTCTGAAGAATTCGTCTTCTCCATCTAGATAGTGTACGGAGGACTGGACATCCTGATGATCGTGTTGGCTCTCCTTCTACTTTGTGTCACCATCAGCTCATGTGTTCTGATCCTGAAGACTCTGTGCAAGAAGAAGAAAGGAGACGAAATGGTATAAAAGGCTTTTGTTGTGATGGACTGTCTGAAAATTCCACCTACCTCAAATGGTTATTTAGTTTGCACTTGAGCTTCGAGGCTAATGTAGCTAACAAGAAGCAGAAACTTCTCTGCCAGTTTAGGATCAAGCAGACTGCATCCCTAATTCAACACAAACCTACACTGATTAATTCTTGGCACTCTTGAAAAACATATCTTTCCGGTTAGTTAGCTCAACCTCATACTCAAACAAACACCCTTCCGAAAAAGTATTTTTAAACAAAAATGTGTCACAATTCCACAGTTATTGATACCCATTTAGCACTTTGTGCAACCTCTGCTTGCCAGTATAACAGCAGTGAGTCTTCTGCTATAATATCTGATGAGATCGGAGAATACAGAGCAAGTAAGACCACTCCTCAGTACAGAATCTCTCAGTATCATCAGGAGTCCTAGGGCCTCTCTTTTGGACCCTCGTCTTCAGCTCACCCTGCAGGTTTTCAGTATGTTTTAGATCAGTGGACTGGGACAGCTATGTCAAAAGCTTGATTCTGTGGTCTGTGGATTTGGAGGGATGTTTTGACCTAGTTTTAGCTTTCTGGTAGAGGCAGCCAGATTTTCATGCCAAATCTCCTGGTTCCATAGTGCCACATGTCCTAACAAGGTTCCAGGGCCTTTGTAGGTGATACAGCCCCAAAACATGACAGATACTACACCATACTTACCATATAGTGGGGATGAGGTTCTCTTCTGTAACCATCTTTCTTTTTATAACCAGCTCACACTGAGTGTTTGTTGCCAGAAGCTCTATTTTTCTCTCATCTGACCATAGAACCTGGCACCAGTCAAAGCTCCATTTGTCCATTTTTTGTCTGTTTATCCATTTGTGGTTAATAAAAGAAAAGGCCTTTCTTCTGGCACACCTTCCAATTTTTTTTTTGGCATGGAAGTTTTATACAATAGTATTTTTGGAGATTTGGTGACCCCAAAATGATTTCATAATCAGATCTCCAGCTGTGATCCATGGACCTCACTGTGCTTGGTGGTAAAATGAACATGCTTCCTTTTCCAGGCAGGTTCACTACAGCTCCAGTTGTTTTAAATACATCGTGTGTATATGCTCTAATCTTCTTCATGTTGATGTAACAGGAACTCAGGGATGACCACTTCAGAGTTCCTGAACACTCAAGTGGCCTTTAGAAAAGTGTAATGGTATTGAAAAAATAGGAGTGCCAATAATTTTGACTTTTGCATTTAGACTAATAGACTAATATTTGAATTAAAGGTTAGATTTCTCTCACAATTTCAGTGTGAGACTGAGCTAATTAGTCCCAAATACATTGTGACCTTTTTATCGATCTTTACCAAGGGTGCAAATACTTTTGGAGATGACTGTAAATCTGATTTTTGGCTTTTATTAAGCTCGGTAGCCGAAGTATTGATATCATGAGTGTGGAAACTGCTGATGTGTTCTTGAAACTAGGCCGGTTTAAACATGATTTGTTTTTATATTATTTTCACAGGAGGATCCTGAGCTTCACCAGCCTCTTGTGGAGGAAGATCCTGCATGTTAGAAACACTTTCAATCCCTTGCTTTCAGTTTCTTGCATAATGAAATGTTATCCCATTCATTTTTGAGACTTTTCCTACCTAACTATTACTGTTATTGTCACTACATTACTGTGGGCTGACTCTGACCTTTTAATCTTTCACATGCACTACATTATTGTTTGTAATCTTGATTATACAGACTGAAATAAAGATAAAGAGAATGCATATTCATCTACACTACCTGCTGCTTCTTTTCTTATTGAAATAGAAGTGATTGCAAGATAATAAAGGCCTATTATGTTCCTACGGTTAAGTAATCTTAAATAGTGTCATGTGGTTTCTTTAAAAATGGACAAAAATACGTTTCATGGCTTAAAACAGTAGAAGCCTGAATTTTTCCCTGGCTTTGACAGTTTTAAAAAATGAGATTGTTATACAGGGCCATAAGTCTGTCCAATGTCCACCTACAATGTTTGTATGGGTTTATGTACCCATAACATCCTAGTTAATGTTTACCTTCTCTTTATCCCTTAGAATTAAACAGGCTGTTGTTGTCTTTACTGTATATATATATATATATATCATCAGCGCAACACACACTAACACACCACCACCCCATCAGTGTTACTGCAGTGCTGAGAATGATCCACCACCCAAATAGTACCTTCTCCTTGAGGGTCCATGGGGGTCCTGACCACTGAAGAACAGGGTAAAAGGGGGCTAACAAAGTATGCAGAGAAACAGATGGACTACAGTCTGTAACTGTAGAACTACAAAGTGCACCTATATAGTAAGTGGAGCTGATAAAAAAAAAAAATTGTTCTACAATTACAGACTGTAGTCCATCTGTTTCTCTGCATACTTTGTTAGCCCCCTTTTACCCTGTTCTTCAGTGGTCAGGACCCCCATGGACCCTCACAGAGCAGGTACTATTTGGGTGGTGGATCATTCTCAGCACTACAGTGACACTGACTTGGTGGTGGTGTGTTATTGTGTGTTGTGCTGGTATGAGTGGATCAGACACAGCAGTGCTGCTGGAGTTTTTAAACACCTTAGTGTCACTGCTGGACTGAGAATAGACCACCAATCAAAAATATTAAGCCAATAGTGTCCTGTGGGCAGCGTCCTGTGACCACTGAACAGATGAGCTACTGCCTCTGACTTTACATCTACAAGGTAGACCAACAAGGTAGGAGTGTCTAATAGAGTGGACAGTGAGTGGACACAGTGCTTAAAATCTCCAGTAGCACTGCTGTGTCTGATCCACTCGTACCAGCACAACACACACTAACACACCACCACCACGTCAGTGTTACTGCAGTGCTGAAAATGATCCACCACCCAAATAATGCCTGCTCTGTGGTGGTCCTGTGGGGGTCCTCACCTTTGAGCAACAGGGTAAAAGGGGGCCAACAAAGTATGGAGAGAAACAGATGGACTACAGTCTGTAATTGTAGAACTACAAAGTGCTCCTATATGGTAAGTGGAGCTGATAAAATGGAAAGTAGAAACAAGGAGGTGGTTTTAATGTTATCGGTGATCGCTGAAAAAATGCGAATAAAAAATGATTTCAAATTATGTTGTTTTGGCTTCTTAGGTTCTGTATATGGAGTGTCTAAACTTATATGGTTTTAGAATACTCTACCCAACCTTGCTTACTGGACTAAAAATCTAAATATATCCAGGTGTCTGCTGTTTAACTTTTAATCAGTTGTGCTGTAGTCCTCCACCACCAGATGGCGCCATGGGAACTTACTGATTAAACTGTCAGTTGCCATTTTAAGAGAGGAGGAAATGAAAGGATAAGATGAAGCCTAAATATCTGAAGGCAGTAAAGATTCCCCATGATTCTGAAACAGAAAGTCTTCATCAGATCATTTCTAAAGCTGTACTAGTCAGATGTCTACAAATAGAACTGTGTTTGCTTTGGTTTCATGTACCAAGAAACAGCTGCAGTTCATTTCTACAGGACCGTTTTCCAACCTCTCTTCTTTTTTTGAATTAAACAGTGTTTCTGTTACTGTCCCCTTAAGACAGATATATGTAAATGGCCTCTGCTCTGACTGGCTGCTTTGATTAAGACTGAAACAGCTGTCCACATAGAAACACTGCTTAAAACTTTAACATGAATGAGCCAACCTGACGTAAGCTCTGACCAACCACTTCCTTAAGTACACATACCTTGTATATTCATTCTTTGTCCATTTTATCAGCTCCACTTACTATATAGGTGCACTTTGTAGTTCTACAGTTACAGACTGTAGTCCATCTGTTTCTCTGCATACTTTGTTAGCCCCCTTTTACCCTGTTCTTCAATGATCAGGACCCCCACAGGACCACTACAGAGCAGATGGATCATTCTTAGCACTGCAGTAACGCTGACTTGGTGGTGGTGTGTTAGTGTGTGTTGCACTGGTACAAGTGGATCAGACGCAGCAGTGCTACTGGAGTTTTTAAACACTGTGTCCACCCACTGTCCACTCTATTAGATGCTCATTTGTTGGTCCACCTTGTAGTGGTCCACCTTGTAGCTTGTTGGTCCACCTTGTAGATGTAAAGTCAACATACACTAACACACCACCACGTCAGTGTCAGTGCAGTCCTGAGAATGATCCACCATACAAATAATACCTGCTCTGTGGTGGTCCGGTGGGGGTCCTGGTCATTGAAGAAAAGGGGCTAACAAAGTATGCAGGGAAACAAACAGACTATAGTGGTGGTGTGTTAATGTGTGTTGCTGCTGAAGTGTTTCAACACCGTGTCCACTCACTGTCCACTCTATTAGACACTCCTATCTTGTTGTTCCACCTTGTAGACGTAAAGTCAGAGACAGTAGCCAATGTGTCACTGCACAGTTTGTGTTGGTCATCCTCTAGTTTTTCATCAGTGGTCAAAGGATACGGCCCACAGGACGTTTTCATATACGCTTCATATTGCCTGCAATACTGGACGAGTATAAAGTGGTACTGTTCTCAGTTATACTGTTGGCCTGTTTATATGTTTATATGTATCATATATATATATATTATATATATATATATATATATATATATATATATATATATATAAATGTAAATCATGTAAAATCGCAGTAAATGTGTACTTTCTATCTCTTAACATTGACACTAGATAGATTTAGCTTTGGAGCGTGGAACTGAGAAGAAGTACCTGCCATAATTACAGCATTCTTTCCATCCCACCCAAAATAATGAGTTTCTGTTACAGGTGCCAGTTTCAAGTGGTCTGAGACCAGGGATCAACGAGCAGTCCCCAGACAAAGGCAGATATCAGAAGCGCTTTGGTCAATACCACAGGCATGTCTGTGTTTTTTGTGCCTTTGTCAGTGCTGGGCTCGTCCTTTCTCTTTCTCTCAGCCCTGCTTTAGCTGGATTAGGTTCAGGGTGAATCACTGGGTGCCAGGTTGAGTCCCTTGAGGCCAAGACCACATCGCATGGTTTATTTGTCACCAAACAGCCAGTAAAGGCGTTTCTGTTTAGCTACACTCTTAAAAATAAAGGAGCCAGAAGGGGTTCTTTGGATTGATGATCATAGAAGAACGATTTATGGTTCCCTAAAGAACCTTTGAATGGATGTTGGATGTTTTTTAAAACCTCAGATGAAACCAGTTAATTGAAAGCAGTGGGCATTTCAGACTATTTATTCAGACCGTAAATGTGATCGTTCTAACACTGTTTTAACAATAAATGGTCTTAAATGTGGCCTATAACTGCTAATTCACCAACCTTTAACCTGACTAGCACGCAGACTGCTGGTCGCCATAGCAACTCTATCTTGCCTAGCTAGTAGCTAATGAAATGGCAAAGATAAAAAATTTAAGACAAACATCGATAATTTGGAAATTAATGGGCTTATTTGCGTTTATAAGTACTCAGCTGGTTTCCTAAAACGTTTAATCTGCAATGGAAAACTGTCAAATACTAAAAAGTTTAAATTTTCCCGTTCCACCTTAAATGGTGCAGCAGTTACATCCTGGAGCCTCAAGCACCATCTAAGGTGGAACGAGAAAATTCTAACAAGAAGCCAACGAATGAGAAGCGACTTCAGTCATATGTTGAGAGACATTTTATAAGAAACTATTCTACTTCTGTGGAAAAGTTTCCTGCTGGAGATGCGAGAAAAGTGGCTGTAGCTGAGCTAAAGCTTAAAGCAGAGCTTTAGTCTGCATTTTCATTTATATTATATTTTTAACCTTTACTAGCACATTAGCACATACTGAGACATATTTACAGCCAAGATGGTAAAATGGACACAAAATTTTGTGGCTCCCAAGGTGGTTTGATTTTTGTTGAAAGGACAAAATGGCTCTTCTTAACATTTGTGTTGCCAACACCTGCTGTGGGCCTTCTCTTCAGTGCTAAACAATAGGAGAGCTCACTTAGCTGAATCTACCGTGATACTGTGGAGAAAAACAGTGCCTGATTATCCAGTTTTTTTTTTTAGAATTTAGCTCTTTTGTATCCATCAAAAACTTGACAATGAAACAAGAGCAGCACTGTAATACTTAAAGAGTCAAATACAAGCATGATTCTATTTAATACAAATTAACTTCAAATTACAGACATGTATTGTTTAGTTGCCAGAAATCATTAGACCTTCTCTGATGGCCTAGAAGGCCCTAAAGGTTCCCCTCTGATTTAAAGGTTCTTTAGGGACCTAAATGTTTTTTTACTGGCATCACACCAAAGAACCCTTAACTGAGTTTCGTTTTTATTGTATGCGTCTTGGTCATTGCAGAATGTTGTAATACAATACAGTTTGCTCATGGATGTAACCCCCGGGCATCTTTTGTTAGTAATGACAACGCCCACACTGCATATAATACAATATGCCCTTGTTGGAGTTCAGTACAGTAGAAGTAGGATGTCTCCTTCTGCTATATTGCTAAACCTCTTTTGCTATTTGTCATGAAAGAGATGAGATTTTACGCCCTAATCCTGAAGAATTACGTTAATAACTGCGCAATATATGAATCATAAGTTGATTTAGTTTGCAGCTGTCTTCCATTCACTCTGTTTTAGTGCCTGCAGTCTATCATATGATCCATGTTTTTTGCAGAGTGAGGTTGACATTCACACTGTGTAAATGAAACAAATTTCACTCAAACAGTGTGACTAAAGCTAAATAATTCCCTACAGAGCTTCTTTGGAGCTCCTCTGGTTCTCCACGCTCCACTTACACAATACAATCACTGATATTTCTTCAGTAAGTGTAATAGCACA